AAGCCCCCCCCACAGACACACGTGGCCATCACACTTAATAATAACCTAGTATTTAATGCATGTTTAGTATGCACCAGTCACCGTACTATCACTTCACACATAGTCATTCATCTAATTCTTATAAGGACTCCTTGGGGATAAATGTCATCACCATACACACAGCAGCCAGAGGGAGCTGCTTCAACACCCTCCCACGGTAAGAGCCCAAGCCCCCTACCCCCAAGGCCCACAAGACCCTGCTCACCTGCCCCCATCTCCCTGCCCTCACCTCCTCCGTCTCTCCCCCTCACTAAAGCTGCAAAAGCCACAAGAGCCTCCTTACTGTTCCATAAACATGCCAAGTAAATTCCTGCCCCAGGACCTTTGCACATGCTCTTCCCTCTGCCAGAGAGGCTCTTCTCCCCAAAGTACCGCACAGCTTACTGCTCACCTCCTTCCATTCCTTACCCTAATGTCATCTTCTCTGCGAGGCCTCTCAATCTACAACTGCAATTCTCTCCCCACATGCACACACACAGCACTTGCCACCATCCGACATACCATATACTTTCTTCTTCATCTCTACTGTCAGCCTGGCCCACCAGAGCAGGGATTTGTGTCTGGTTTACTACTATGACCTGCAGTACCCGGGACAGTGCCAAGCACAGCGTAAATACCCAGTAAATATTTGCAGAATGAATGAATCCACAATGAAAGAAAATATTGAGGCAGGGAGAAGTTGGCCCACAGCCCTTAAGTGGCAGAAGCTGGATTCGAACCCAAGCAGTCCCGCTCCACAGGCTTCCTACCCACTGGGCTCCTTTTCCCTAACATATCCCTTTGCACACTCAGAAAGGCACTCAACAGCTAACATACATACACACTCAGAAATGCACACAACAGCTAACACACATACAGAATTGCACGAAACCTTTTGCCAGGAGCATCTATGAGGACTTACTCACAGGCACACCCCCTCATTCAGCCCCTAAGCTCTGGAGTTCCCAGCCCTCACCTCCTTGAGCCCCGACCCTGAGCAGAAACTAAGCCTTGATCTACATCCTGTGGTAACTTA